CCTTCAGGGGACTCACAGAACATTATGGGGTGGCTGCAGCCCCACTCAGTGCATGGCCATGTGTGTGGGGTGTCTGGAGAGCTGGGGTTGTGCAGCCCAACTCACCATCTCCACCCCTGCCTTTCACATTTCACTGCCACCCAGAACTGGTGGCCTTTGTTAAATCAGCTGAAAAGTGATTATCAAACACAGCCAATGAGTTGAATCCTCCCTGAACCCACTGCAGGGCTGTGTCTGTCATTTGGAGGTGCTGATGGCCAGACTATGAGCATTTTTATTGCAGGGAGTGCCATCTATCAATATGTCATTTCAGGCTTTTTATATTTGTCCTGGGTCAGGGCTGCCCCAGTTTTTAAACAGTGGCTCTGTCACTCAGCAGCTTGGCCAGCACTTTGTTCTGCTCTTCATTCACATGAGCCTCAATGAAATTTATAATTTGTGGGCTGGCAGTTCAGGGAATTGTTTTGTTCCGTAATTAAGTTGGGAAGTCTGGAGTTTGAGTTGAGAGACAAAGCCCTGTCATACATAATTCCCCAGGAATCTTTTCTTCAGAGCCCCTATGGATTAAAATGACTGCTGTCTGTCCAGATCTCCATCCAGGAGCCAGATCCTGGGGGAAGGAATGTGCTCCTCATGCTTCTCCCCCTGGCACAAGGCTCTGGGCAATAGTTGTGCTCACTCAGCTCCATCACAGCCACATGAAAATCAGCTCTGGGTCCCAGCACAGGGAGGACATGGAGCTGTTGGGGCAGGTCCAGAGGAGACACCAAGATGATCAGAGGGATGGAGCAGCTCTGCAGGGAGCCAGGCTGGGAGAGCTGGGGGGGTTCACCTGGAGAAGAAAAGGCTCCAGGAGACCTGAGAGCCCCTTCCAGGGCCTAAAGGGGCTCCAGGAGAGCTGGAGAGGGACTGGGGACAAGGGATGGAGGGACAGGACAAGGGGGAATGGCTTCCCACTGCCAGAGGGCAGGGATAGATGGGATATTAGAGAGAATTTTCCCCTGATGTCCAACCTGAACCTCCCCTGGCACAACTTGAGCTGTTTCCTCTCCTCCTGTCCCTTGTTCCCTGGAAGAAGAGACCAACATCCACCTCCCTACAACCTAAAGCAAAGAATTCCACAAGCAGAATGTCCTTACCCAGGGTCCAAATGTTCCCTCGTGGTGCTCCAGCCCTCCCTTGTGTCACCACTTGGATTGTTGCCCTGCTGGATGTGCCCTGGGATGGTGGTGTGTCCTCCAGCAGGGCAGGGTGTCCCTGGCATCCCCAGGTGACCCCAGGGAGCTGCTTTTGGGAATAAAGTTCATTTGCCACGACCAAAGTTCCCTGTTGAGGTGGGGAGGCCCTGGCCCAGGTTGCCCAGAGAAGCTGTGGCTGCCCCATCCCTGGGAGTGTCCAAGGCCAGGTTGGAGCAACCTGGGCTGGTGGAAGGTGTCCCTGCCCATGGCAGGGGGTGGCACTGGATGATCTTTAAGGTCCCTTCCATCCCAACCCCTTCCATGATTCTGTGAACCCCGGGCAGTGCCCAGCAGGGTTTCTCTGGATTCATCCCGGCAGAACCAGGAGCTGCTTTTCAAAAGGCTGCTGTTCCAAGGTTCTTGGCCAAAGCCCTGTGGATTAGGATGCTAAGACACCCTCATTAAGGAGGTAATTAAGAGCTGGGTTGATGATGCTGCTGCCATTGGGAGGTTGGTGTGAGAGCTCGGGGGGGAACAATGGAATCACTTCCTTCTCCACACTTGATGTCTCAATAACTGTCTTCATGTATCACCAGCAAATACAAGGTGACTGCCCTAATCAACCCTTCCCCCTTTTTTAAGTGGTATCAGCTCTGGTAATTAACTCCTGTTTTAAGGAGTTGGGGAGGTTGAAAGCTGCTGTGCTTTCCTTGGGTGTGCTGGAAGCTGATCCTCATTGATTTGTGCTGGGAATTAATGAGCCAGCCGAGCCCTCAGTTATTCCATGTGCTTCCTTTGCTTGTAAATTATCTCTTTGGAGTTTACTAAGGGAGTGAGTCATGTTGTAGCTTCCTAAGAATTTTACCCCTCTGTCCTCATCCATTTTTCATGCTGCTCAAATCCATAAGCTGGATAATGAATGCTGGGAGAATATTTCTGTGTCTCTCCAGCTGAACTTTGGGGATCCATAACCCCTGATTTGCGTGGCTGTGGCTGCTCTAAATAAGACTAACGAATATAGAACTAATATTTTTAAAGGCTTCTTTCAGAGCTGGGCTAAATAAAAATGAATGTACATCCTTTTTTAGCACCATCCCCCTGTTTCCAGGCTGGCTCAGAGTTGTGCTGCTTGGGCAGATTAATGAAGGGAACCACTCATTAATTTATGGGTGAGAAAGTAATTGCTTCCCAAACTTGTACAGTTGCTAATTAGCAGCAGGCTGTTTCTTTTGTAGCCCTGTTTCAGCTCTGTGTGGTTCACCTTGCTCTTAATTGGAAGTGTTTGCAGAGATGTGTTTGTTGCAGGCCATGAAATGTGCAGTTGAACTCGGGTAAATCAGATTTGGGAGCAGGGTGGCAGTGGGGTGGACACAACACATGTGAACTTTGGGTCGAAATGCCATTGAAAAGAAGTGTTCACAGAGGGAAAAACCAGACACCATCAGCCATCAAATCGTGTTTTAAAGGCTGAGCTCGATGGGGAGCTCGATGGGAGCTCAGGCAAGGAGCAAAGGGGATGAAAAGCAGCACAGAGCTGGGCTGTTGTGCAGGGGAAAAGCCCTTTTTCTTTGTGTTCCCCCTTTGGGTGGGTTTGGGACCAACCCTGTGAGCAGGTGGGTGATTTCTCCTCTGGCTGGTGACAGATTAATTGCTGGGAAAACGACAGTGAAGAGTTTGATTAGAAGAACTTTAAGTGGCTCAGGAGACTATCTGTCAAATATTTTTAGGCAGGCAGTTAAAAGATCCCATAAACTACCCCACTGTTTACAGTGTGAGTGGGTGACACTGAGTGTGACCACCCACTGCCTGGGAGCACCCAGTGACCTGCCCCTGTTGGATGGCAAAGTGCAGTTTAAGAAATGTCCAATATTGTGCAGTGTTCAACTCAGGGAAGGGAAGGTTTGGGAAGGTTTGGGAAGGTTTGGGAAGGGAAGGTTTGGGAAGGGAAGGTTTGGGAAGGGAAGGTTTGGGAAGGTTTGGGAAGGTTAGGGAAGGGAAGGGAAGGTTTGGGAAGGTTTGGGAAGGTTTGGGAAGGGAAGGTTTGGGAAGGTTTGGGAAGGGAAGGTTTGGGAAGGGAAGGTTTGGGAAGGGAAGGTTTGGGAAGGTTTGGGAAGGGAAGGTTTGGGAAGGTTTGGGAAGGGAAGGTTTGGGAAGGGAAGGTTTGGGAAGGTTTGGGAAGGGAAGGTTTGGGAAGGTTTGGGAAGGGAAGGTTTGGGAAGGGAAGGTTTGGGAAGGTTTGGGAAGGGAAGGTTTGGGA